ATGTCTCCTCCTCGTCTCCTATCTCCTTCCAAATCCTCTCTACCACCTTGTCCTATCTGATTCCTTGCTTCCCTGGAGTCGCTTTTCCCCAAGCTTCCTTGTCAACCATGGCTGGTAGTCTATCGTCCGACATTCTACTTACCTTGTACTGCCAATTCAACTTTTGCATGTCTCTCTTTGTTTTAAGAGAGTACATTCCCAGTTCTGCTCTCAATACAGTGTTGCTCGTTGTACTTGAACATCCTAGTATTTTCTTGGCCGCTGCCATCTGCACCGTTTACAGCTGCTTGACGGCCTTTTTCGTTACCTTCCCATACCTCTCCTGCATACTCTAGCTTAGGTACAATCACATTCAANTCACATTCAAGAGAACACACCTCTTAATCCTAGTGTCTAGGTGTGGGTCCGTAAGGATCTCGTCCATCTTGCCTATCTGAGATTTACCCTTCCCAATCAACTTTGCTATGTATGCGTCCCATGAGCACTCTTTCGAAATCTCTCTCCCAGGTACGTATACCTGTCTACTACCGGTAGTTCTTCCTCCCCCCATTTCCATTTGAATTCACGGGATTTTCCTTGTCTTCGTTACAGACCACTACTTACTGCGCATTTTCCTACGTTCGCCGACAGTCTCCATTTGCGGGTGTATCCTACTGACGCATCTATTTGTTCCTGCAACCCTTCTGGTGTTTCGGATACCCCCACGAAATCATCTGCAAACATCAGTCCGGACACACTCTTTCCCCCTACTTGGACTCCCTGTCTTACTGCTTCAACCGCCCTTATCAAGTCGTTGATGTAGACTAAATCTTGAAAAGAGTGGGTGACATCTTACAGCCCTGTGCGACTCCTTGGAGTATATCCATGTACTTCGAGATTTCCCCATCCAACATCACTGCACTTCTTGTGCATTCTGTCATCTTTTTCAACATCCTCCACATTTTTCCCCGGTTCTGCCTTACTTATCCTTTCGCTGCTTCCCCCTTCCCCTACTTTGGCTTGTTTTCACTTTTCATCCTTTCGAATCTCCTGCCCCCCTTTGTTTTCAGCCAGCCTTGGGCTACACCTTACTTCCTGGATCCTATTTGCTATGCACACCCTCCAACTTAGTCTCCTCACCCACGCCGACATCTTCTCTACTTCCAGTATTTCCCATTCTGCGCTTGCTCTCCTNTCTATTTGTTCCTGCAACCCTTCTGGTGTTTCGGATACCCCCACGAAATCATCTGCAAACATCAGTCCGGACACACTCTTTCCCCCTACTTGGATTCCCTGTCTTACTGCTTCAACCGCCCTTATCAAGTCGTTGATGTAGACTAAATCTTGAAAAGAGTGGGTGACATCTTACAGCCCTGTGCGACTCCTTGGAGTATATCCATGTACTTCGAGATTTCCCCATCCAACATCACTGCACTTCTTGTGCATTCTGTCATCTTTTTCAACATCCTCCACATTTTTCCCCGGTTCTGCCTTACTTATCCTTTCGCTGCTTCCCCCTTCCCCTACTTTGGCTTGTTTTCACTTTTCATCCTTTCGAATCTCCTGCCCCCCTTTGTTTTCAGCCAGCCTTGGGCTACACCTTACTTCCTGGATCCTATTTGCTATGCACACCCTCCAACTTAGTCTCCTCACCCACGCCGACATCTTCTCTACTTCCAGTATTTCCCATTCTGCGCTTGCTCTCCTTCCAAACGTGATTCTAAAGTGGTGTCCTTCCCTTCCTACCCCCCCCCGTGCGAAGCAATATAATCTACTTCTTCACATATACTTTTGAACTCCAACCTTGTCATGTCGTTATTGACCCCAAATATCAACACTACCAGTACTGCACCTTTCCACTCTCTCCTTCTCCACCCTTTGTGCCTTGTCGTCTCCCTCCTTATCTCTTTGGAGACTATCTCGTTGTTTTTGTTTGAAGTGGATGCTTTCAAATTACTGGGACTTCCCAATCCTAGTACTTGTTGAGGGTCTGGTGTCTTTAATTCTTTTGCCGGCTCACCGACACTAAAAAGTGCCTCCAACATGGGCTCATAGCCTGCAGCCAAGTTCAACACCCTTAGCACAAGTACCCCAAGTTTGTGCCAGGCGATCTGCATGGTAACCAACCCAAGCTTCCCACGACCGTATTTTCTCTCTACTTGCCCCAGCTGCTGTACTGGGTACTTTCCTCCGGGGAGGTCATTTTCCCCATGTAGGGTTCAAGGGTGGCTTGCATAACAGAAGGTCTCACTCACACAACATCGGGATGTCCGTCTCTTCCTTGATTTTTATGACATACAAACATAAAAATCTCCTCCTCGTAGACGCCAGAGAGCACTATCTTCCCTCATGGCAGTCTAAGTCGACCCAGGGTTGATAAATGAGTTACGGTCATCAACGTTTGTACGGTACACCATGGGTAGCTACCCCACGAACGCTCCCGAGTAGACCTTCGCTGCCGAAAGCTTGACCAACAATCCCCCCAAACTTTGTACCGGCGTCTAGAACCTTCAAGCTTCAAGATATCTACGTACCGCTTGGTGCTCCTTCTCTTTTGGGTCATTTGGTCGGTCATTTGAAAACAAGGTTCTTGAGTGAGTATGTTAGGTCTGACATTCATTTCGTCTTGCATTATCCACCCCTCCCTCTCCTTGCGGAGAATTCAGGATAGTGTCTGACCAGATTCCCACCGCCCCATGGGAACCGGTAATGTATTACGGTTATCTCACCACGAGTCCCCAACCTTCATGTGCATCGCACAGTTGACCAAAAGGATTGCTGTGTCTATATTTATGCTTCATTTCCGTTTTCGTGTTGGTGTGTAAGGTGGCCAATAACCTTCTACTCTTGCTTACTTTTGCGTTTTCGACTGTGAAAAGGAAAAATATATATATGGTAAGCGTCTGGAAATGTATTTCGTTGAATTCAGTTATTTCATATCTGGCTTGTCATGTTTGTGTTACTTTATGGGAAAATAAAAGGTCGGTTAGTTCAGCTCTTTCATGTCTGGCTTGGCGGGTTTGTGTTACGGTATGGGAAAAATAAAAAGTCGGTTAGTTCACTTTTTCCATGTCTGGCTCGTCAGGTTTGCGTGACGGTATGGGAAATAAAAAGTCGGTTTGTTCAGTTTTTCCATGTCTAGCTTGTCAGGTTTATGTTACGGTATGGGAAAATAAAAGGTTGGTTAGTTAAGCTCCTTCATGTCTGGCTTGGCGGCTTTGTGTTACGGTATGGGAAAATAAAAGGTTGGTTAGTTAAGCTCCTTCATGTCTGGCTTGGCGGCTTTGTGTTACGGTATGGGAAAATAAAAGGTTGGTTAGTTAAGCTCCTTCATGTCTGGCTTGGCGGCTTTGTGTTACGGTATGGGAAAATAAAAAGTTGGTTAGTTCAGTTATTTCATGTCTGGGGTCTGGTGGCTTGTTTTACAGCGTCGGTGCCATGCTACGGTGATGGGGGGGGTTCTACATCACTCGGACGCTTGCCAATGGGGGATTCACTTAGTTGGCTCGTGGGACGCCAGAGCCGTCTCGAGGGCGTCTGGCGAGTTGAGCATGAGCTCCACCGTATTCGATATACTCGTAGCATAGCATGGGGGTGGTATATTGCGTTTACATATGCGGTATTTGCAGTGACGAACTACGGAGGAACAAGAAGTTTCTATCAGTCGGAAAAGAAGGAGTGAGCATGGAGGAGCTGCGTAGGGTGCATTCGAGTGACAGCGTAGAAAAGGCAATCACGGCGTGGAACCTGCTGATCACGTCTGTAACGTACATGCCTATCCTCACCTAGATCATCGCTATTGGTAGTCCAAGTGGAGGTTGAAAAATATTCCTCAACTATCACGAGCCGCGTGCCAGAGCCGAGAAAGTAAGGTTGTCATCCCAATACCACGGTCTTGAGGTGAAAGTAGGAGAGACCCCCCCAAGAATATTTCGGGAGATTTGCTGTTTTGCGCGGTAGGCTAGCCTCGCACGGTGTTATTTTCTCCGACGAAGATGCCAATGCCCACATGGTATACCACCTTTCCGACGAGTACCTGATGGAGACGAAGATTCTGACTATGTCACCGATTCCCCCCTCGCGCGAGAAAATCGAAAAGGGTGTACGAGATGCCCATGCGGAATTGCTTCGCCGTCGGGAGGAGGAACCAAAGAATGGCGCGGGGCACGCGTTCGTCGCTTCCGGTGGCATCCGGGGCGATGGACGTGTCCAAAATGGGTCGAGTGGAAACGGCGGGGGACAGGACGGAGACGGAGGCGCCCGGAGTCGGAGGAGCAGAGGGAGAGGAAACAAGAAAGCCGGAGAGAGAGGAGCCGACAGCGACCACTGCTACCTACATCCGCACATGTCCCACACCAACGCCCAGTGCCACACTCAACGCGACCGTCAGAAGAAACAGGTGTAACAGCAGCCTCAGCAACGGCAGCCTCAGCAACAGCAGCATCAGCAACAGCAGCCTCAGCAGCAGCATCCCCACCAACAGCAACTTCATGGACCGCCGCCGCCGCAGCCGAGCTACAGTAGGGGGGGCTGGGGCGGTGGGCCTCAGCACGGACCTCACAGCGGCTACGGAGGACAGCATCAGCACAGGTATACAGCTCCCCCTCGTCCGCCACAGCCGCCGTGGCGGCCTCCGTACGGGCATGCAAATGTGACGCATGCGTATAGTGCCATGCCCTACGGGGGGCCCGCGTATGGTAGCGAGTATGGGGGGTGGGAGCAGAAACAACAGCAGCAGCAGCAGCAGCAGCAGCAGCACTTCACCCATGCCCCGCCCCAGTCGCCTTCTCCCGGAGCAGCAGCTTTTCCGCCTGGGCATCTTCACTCCCTGATGGCGCACTTTGTGTCCGCTGACGAAATGAATTCGCTTTCGGTTTCGAGTAATGTAGGCAGTGTCGCATGTGGTGATCTTGGTTTTGCTTTGTCTGC